CTTCGACTGACCCCCGGGTTGCCCTCCGGCGACGTCCGATTCGAGGAGCGGCTCTGAGCTGGGGGAGATCAACGCCCAGCGGCTTCTCGAGCGCCTCTGCTTCGATCGCTTTGCGATCGCTGCGAAAAATGCCGCTGGTGGTTTCCTTGTTTTGGGAATCCGCAAAACTCAGTTGCCACCAGTTGGATGGTTTATAGGGGTCATTCCAGTTCTCATTCCCTACCTATCGCACCAGCAAGATAGGGAGGGAATGAGAAATGGAGTGACCCGCTAAACCCTCCTGGTTTTTTTTCAGCTCGGTCATGCCTGGATGAGAACCAGCAAGAATACTATGGAATCCCTAGGAGGGGTACAAGTGGGGTAGTTGAGAGCCTCTTTCGGGTTCCTTAGGGAACCTTTCTTGGATGGATGTAACTCCATAAAAAATCGGCTTGCGTTGCATGGGAATCGGTTTCCCCTGTAATTCTGTTGACTGTTTCTAGGGGTTGTCAAAGTCGGCAAACAAACAGTTTGCAAATACTTACTCAGGATGTGAGTGGGAGTTACCACGCTTTGAGACAAGCCGAGGCGAACTTTACTTGTACGATCTGTTGCATCACTTTACGCGCGGCTAAATTCTCTTGCCATTGTTGGTTGGCAAGTGGAGGTAGGTGAGATGAAGGGGAGGGGCATTTCTTTTGCTTGGGGAAAGCTGAGAAGGGCAAATGGAGGGGGGGGGGTGGGGCTGGCTGCCAAAGGAGGGGTTGCGGCAACAAGGGTCAACGAGGTACTGCATTTCTGACTGGTGTTTGCATCTGGCCAAGAGAGGCCTTGCAATGTGAGAGGTATGTTTTGTGAGGATGCGCTGAAAAGGGGCAAAGTGGTGGTTTTCCCGCTTGAAGGCACAAAGAGCATCAGGACTCATGAGGGCCTTCACATGCTTCACTCAACCTTTAGGGGGAAGCCCGCAGACTCAGGAGAAATTGGGTTGGGGTATGTGACCACTATATAGCCACTTAAGGCAGGTTACAGGGAGACCGAGTTACTGAGCTAGAGCTGACGGATCCCACCAGCGAGTCGCTTCTAGTTGGTTGCCGGCCCAATCATGCTGAACCGTGCCCCTAACACCATCCAACACGTCTGAGCTGCGATGCGGGAAATTCCACTTCATTTCAGCCCACCTCCGCATAGACTGAAAGTGAACATGCTGAAGGCTTCCCAAAAATTATTCTAGGGCCGGTTTTCCTTACACTGTGAGCGTAACATGGAGCACGACCTGGGATGGGCTTTTGGGGTGTTCATTGCGTCTGTGTTTGCCAACGCCCTGGAATGAGTCAGAGGTCTCGCCTGCCCTTCAGCGTGCCCAGATTTTATTTCGGGGACGTCTCCAACGCCGCACGCCTGCAAGCCATGCGTGTGACCATGTTTCTTCATCTTGCTGGTGCCATAGGCAGGGAATGAGGGAATGATCCGTATAAACCAAGTGAGGGTTTCCTCTTAGAAAATCCCTAGGTTCATTCCCACATTCCCTACTGAGCACCAGCAAGTCAATAGGGTTCGTCCGCTTTGGCCTTGTTCAAGCGGACAGCAAGCCATCCGTCTTCTCGAAGGCCCCCTTTCAGCAGACCCACTTGGCGCTCTGGAAGCCAAAGGCGCAATAATTCCCCAAAACACGCCTGTCCTCAATTTGATCTGAAATCAGCCATACTGAAAAAAGTGGCCCTTCTTTTTCATGGGCTGCATGCCTCAATGGAAAAGTGGAAGGCCATCTGCAGATGGTGGATGGTCAGAGAGCTTTGCAGTAGCAGTACCAGCTGAGGAGACGTCCAACTGGATCCTCATCACAGAGCGAATTCCTTTTGATCAGAAAGATGGGGACAGAAAGGTGGACCCCGCGTACGATAAGATGAAGGCCGGCACTGCCCCACTTGCCATGGCAAGTTGCCCGGAGGGTTGAAATGCACGTGGCTTGCACCTGATGTGACACAGCAGGGCCGCTACCTTCAACGGCCTTGCTTAAACTTCTGCAGGTAGATGGTCAATCGGCAGGTCGTGGGGTAAAGCACCTTGCCCGGAGGCTGCAATTCTTTGGGATCCCGGATTCCTCATGTGCTGGAGGAATCCGAGTTCTAGGCAACGTTGCCCCAACTGTGGATTTGACCTGCGTCCGTTTTTTCCTTCCCTTGCTCTTTCATCACTCGTTGGATCCATGCCTCGGGCATACAAAACAACCAGGTTGTAGCGAGCCTATATGGCACCACTCGCTTCTTCAGATTTAACCACCCCCTTTTCCCCTTTTCCGACATGTTTAATTGGGTGCGTGTTTTCTTGGTGCCCGTTTTTGGTTGGCTTTAAGGAAATCCAAGCGAACCCCGCAATATTGAAGGTTCGTTTTGGGCAAATCCGTGCAAATCTTAATCTGGCTCTTCACCCCAGCCAGGACTGGGAGCTGAAAGGCACCATGGAGGAGTACTACTTCCTGCTGACCAGGTACGGCGCCATGATGGCCGGCATGGACAAGGCGCGCCGTGCATTGTCGAGGAAGATTTCGGTGCTGCTCCTGCTCACTACATGGGGGTTGTCGCCCCACCAGTGCCTGAACCCGTGTCAGGTTGGTACTTGCACCTATCAGTTTCTGTGCTCAAGCCATTTTGGCTCAAGAACTTGGCTTTCAGAGCTGACATCCCCCGCCTTGCTTGGGGCCGTAAGTGCCTCCGCGCGCCGCCATGGCTCCTGTGCTGCTGCTGCTCTTTGTGGCCTGCGCTGTGCTGCTGGCGACTCACTGGGCCCTTGCTGGCCCCCACTGCACCCGTGAGGCTGGACAATGTGCCACGACTTTTCGGGCGATTTCCTTGGGCCTTGCTGGGCCCATCCTGCGGGCTATTTGCCGTCGTGCTCTTCCTGCTCAACGTGCTGGTGGTTCTCGTGTTCGTCTTCGACGGGCACAGCGCCGAGAGCAGCGTATGTGGTGGCGAGCTGCACGGTGTCGTGTGTTCTTCGAGCACGTTTCCTTGCTTGGAGGAGGCAGCCGGCCTGGTAGGGGACGTGTGCAGACGACTCGTGGACCTGACCTGGTGAGAGACCTTGCTGCTCAGGTCCAGGAGCTCGCGGAGCAGGTTGCCCAGTTGCAACAACCACGCCTGGTGCGCCGACGGCGGCGCCGGCGCCAAGCCAGGCGGAGTCGCCCGGCCCTTGCGCTTGACCGTCCCTCGCCAGTGGCGGAAGGAACGCAACCACAGACTCCCGGGCTGCTTGCCGCACTGCTGCAAGGCTTGACTGCCTGGCAAGCAGCGCCCCATACAGTCACAGAACAGGACATCGCTTCAACTCTCCGGCGCCTGCTTGCCGAGCACACGCCTCCCGCAGGCAAACGCACATACGCACAGGTTGCTGCCAACACGGCTGCCAAGCCGCCTGCTGGGCCTGAGAGGCCCGTGTCCGGGAACCCTAATCCGCTGCCTAATAAGCTTCATGGTAAGCCTCCTAAGCCTTCGCCTCCTGTCGGCCGTCTGCATGCTGCCGCGTGGTCTGTCCCGGTGGTACCGCCCACCGCCCTGTTGCAGCACGCCCTGTGCACCAATGTGGTTGTGCCCTGCGTTGATGCCCACGCTGTCGAAGACGCGCGAAACGCGTTGAGAGCGCGTGGGTTCCAGCATGCTGCCACGCTTGTCCAGCTCACCTCACTGGCTCTGAGCTGCCTGACCGTGTCCTGGTAGAGGGACCCCAGGGGCCGCGGCCTGCACCCGCCAAGCTTCATTGCGTCGGCTCCAGCCCACCGCAGGCCAAGGCACTGCCGTCCCAGTTCCAGGATGACTCTGCCTTGCCGTCCACGCCTTCTCCCACATGCCTCCTTCGCCTCACGCTTGCAAAAGAGTTCGCCCCGCAGCCGCTTTGGGCTGTTGTCAGTGCCAAACCGGCAACCATGCCAGCCAGCCTGCTTGGTGACGCGCGGCGCCTGGTTGTCCAGACCCGTGCCGCTGTGGCGTATGAGACTGAAGTCACTTGCCTGGTTCAGGTGCGTTCCTCTTCCCTCGAACAGCTTCTTGGTGTCGCTCTGCCAACTGGGGCGTGCTTGAATCGCCACCGCGCCGATGCGGTCCCGCAATGGGTTGAACGAGCGACCGGCTCCACTTCTGCGGCCTACTGGTCGGAGGTCCACAAGCTCCAGACCGAGCACGGAGGGCGTGTGGTCTACCGCCCCGTGTGCCAAGCGCGTTCCCGCTGTTGCCCCTCCTTCTTGGATGCTCAATGGCAGCCCGCCTGATTGGACTGAAGAGGACCTGTTGGGCTGGGCTGCCAGCCGTGGATTTGAGGGCGCTGCCTCTGCTCACCGGCGAGGGCGTCGGGCTTGGTCTTTCCGCGCCCGCGCGCCGACAGGCGCCGATGATGTCCGTCAGGCCTTCACCTTTGCTTCTGGCATCACTGTTGCCCTGGCTCGCGGGCGTGCTCCCGCTACCGCACCTGCTTCCGCTGCCCAGACGCGCTGGGGCGCTCCTGCGCCTGCTGACGTGGTTCCCGTTCCTGCTGCCCCGGCTGCGCCGGCTGTTGATCCTACTCAACCTGACCCCGACTCGGACGATGATGTCCGTATGGGCGACGCTGGCAAGCAAGCCGGCGATTCGCAGCGCTGGGATCTGTACGTCATTGGGCCTTCCGGGCGGCCGCCGAAGTCGCCGCAGGTGATTTGGTTGAAGTTGCAGTCGGTGCACTACCAGCTTCTCCAGCCCTGTGCCGCTCTCCCGCCGGCTGTTGCCCAGGCGTGGCTGGATGGCGCTTGTTGGAAAGCTGAGATGTTGAAGGGCGGCGGCCCCGACGGTCTTGACCCGGACGCGCTTGAGCTGCTGGGCTTGAGCCCTCCTGGGGATGACTCCCCTGCGCTGGATGCTGACGCTTGCAGCTTGCTTGGTCTCCGGTCCTGTGTGTCGGCTGCGTCCCGCGCCGCCTGCTTGCCTTCCGCGTCGCAGGCGAGCCGACGCCTCTATGGCAAATCCTCGCCCCCGCTTGCGGATGTGGACTCCCACCCACGCGTTGCTGCCCAGTACACCGCGGCTGCGCACCTTGTTTGCCCTTGCGGCTGGCAGCCGCCCTCGCCTGGGGTCCCCGGCCGCAGTCAGGCCCGCACCCATTGGCGTGAGTGCCAGGGTCGGCCCCCTCCCGGGCCACCACCCGATTGGCGCCACCGCCAAGCCACTACCCATGCCCACGCCAAGGGTGAGCTCCTGCGTGAATTGGCGGCCAAGCGTAGCTCCACCTGGGCAGATGAGTTTCGTAAGAAACACCCCCGCCTGGCCAGCGCGGTCTGCCAACTCACTTATGATGTGCCTGTCTATGTCACTACTGCCAAGTACCCCTTCTTTGCTTACACTTGCCGTGTCTGCGGCAAGGTGCAGAAGCCCGCTTTGTTGAAGCGCCAGCTTTGCCGAGCCAATGACGGAGTTGACCGAGCCTCGTTTATGCGGGCTTCCGTCGGTGGGAAGAAGTTTGCGCGCCTCCGGCGCTGGGAAGCTGGCTACTTCCGCGACCGGTGGCAGCAGCGCCGTGCCGCCGGGCCAGCCCGTGCCGCTGCCAAGTCGTCCCCTGCCCCCCGCCATCGGCGGGCTGCTGCTGCCACCGCCCGTGCCCGTGGCCCCGCCAAGCGCCGCAAGCTCCTCGGGGGCGCCGCTGAGTGACTATCGCACGAGGATGCTGTACCCTAAGTCTGCAGATGTAGTAAATTTAGTATGGCAGCGATTTACTCTAAATTTTACTATTTACTAATCTCATTTTACTAGGCCAAGTAAAGTAAATTTACTAGTAAATAAATTTAGTAGTAAATGTAAATTTCGTTACTAGAAAAAAAAAAAGCAGTATTTTTCAGTATTTTTTGGTGTGTTTCGTGAGCTGCCTCGAACGCATTTTTCCTGAGTCCAAACATTTTTCTTAGCACTGAGTAGTGCGGGAACATGTTTCTGAACAATGTGCATTACTTGAGACATGGTCTTGCCTCGCTCGAGCTCCCCATGAATCGTTTGATTTACGTGCGCATGTCGCGGTTGATTTACTTGAGAACATGGTTGCTCCCAGCTCCACAAAGAACCGCGCATCCTGTGATTGCAGCTTTTTTGGCTAGCACACAGCTTGTGGTATCATGAGCGGCTGGATATTTGCGGCCTGGGCGGTTGGGATAGACACCGATAGCCTAGAAGGCCAGGAGCCGCCGCCCATGGAGTACTGGGAGGACGTTGATCCTGGGCCAGTGTCAGCGCTTTTGCGGGATATTACGTTTGCACTGCGAGTTGAGTCGATTTATCATTTTCATGTGATCGCGATGGAGTTCAGAAGCAATTCTGTCGTGGCAGTTTTGGTATTCGATGTGAATATGGAAGAGAAGCAGGTCTTTGCGTTTTTTCGCTGCAACGGGTGTGCAATGAGTGAAAAAAAGAAACAAAGGCGCGGGGGTCATGTTTGCTTACTTGTGTGACAAGAAACGCTGATTGTTTTGCCGGTCGTGTTATTGCTCGCCGGTCTGCATGGGCAATGGTTATGGGTCCAGTGGCCCAGCTTACTTATGGGAACAGTGTGTGAGGTTATTGTGAAAGAGTCTGAAGGATTTTTGGCCTTTGTGGACGCACAAGTTACTTGGAAGTTGGAAGGATGTCGGACCTCCATTCATGCACTTGCTTTAGATTTACTTCGGCGGGCGAGGGAGGCTGCTAGACGTTGCTTGTTGCCCCGGAGTGCATTTTGCCTGAGCTACGCCGTTACATAGGCTGTGTTGCTGCAATGGCTGCCCTGGGCCTCATCCTTGAAGAGCGAAAACGGCAAAGTGGCCAGGCCCAAAGGGAATCGTTTTCCTCAAAGGTTCGCTTGGTGGCAGACCCTACGACTTCCGTGGCTGACTTGGCCAAAGTTTTCCAGCAGTACTTGGAGCACCACAAAAGCGAGGATCTCTGGGCACTCATATGCCCACCACCCTCTGGGCCACATTCGTACTCATGGCAGACGTCTCCCCAGCCTCAGTGGCTGGCCAAAACGGCTGGCCTCTTGTACGACCTCTTGGCACTTGCCCCGAATTCGAAGCTTGTCTCGAAGAAAGTGCTGTCGAGCTTGGACATCTTGTACAAGAACAAGGTTCTGTGGTTGCCACCTAACAGGCAACCCCAGGCGACCATGGACAGGCTTGACACAACAGTGAGAATCCTCTTGGCCATGTTGAGGACCCTGAAAATGAACGAGGAGTTGAGATCGAAGTGCTGGCGACTCTTGGGGAGGGAAGATCCAGCTGCCTCCTGGGTACTGCCCTGAGAGCCAGATCAAAGGCGGGGAGGAGGACAGTGGTCAGGAAATCCAGGCGGCGCCAATGCCAGGTGACCTCGTCATTTTTCAGCCCATGAAAACTTCTTGAAGTTTTGAAGACACCACCTTCGATCTTTGCGAAGATCCTTGCCATGGACGTGGAGAAGCTCAGCAGCCATGACTTGTCGGAGAATGCGTTACTTGCGGACGCCGGCGCCTTTGTTCCCGAGGTGTCAAAGTCAGAGA